AATCTGCAAGGACACCAAAATTCAGGTCGGATCAGAATCTTTCCTTGCTGATTTATTCGTACTCTCCTTGGATGAATTCGACATTGTCCTGGCAGTCAAGTGGCTGATCACTCTAGGGCCAATCCTATGGATTTCAACGCCCTGACAATGACATTCCACCTGGATGGAAAACCAGTTACATGGCAGGGAACCAGAATAAGAACAAAGATGCAGTTGCATACACTTCAAGGTGAACTTGCGCACAACAGATGTGGAGAGGCTTCTCACGGATTTCTTTGCAGTATTCCAAGAACCCAAGGGGTTCCCCCCGTCCAGAGCCTGCGATCATCGGATCCCTCTGCTAGCCATATCAGATCTCGTCGTCGTCCGACCCTATCGCTACCCACACCGACAGAAGGATGAAATAGAAAGGCAGTGTGCGGATATGTTACAGCAGGGGATCATCCGTCCCAGTCGGACGGTCAAGGATAAATTTCCTATCCCCATCGTAGATGAGCTATTGGACGAACTCCATGGTGCCCAATACTTCTCAAAATTAGACCTCCGGTTGGGTTACTTCCAGGTCCGGATGACTCCCGAAGATATAGAGAAAACGGCATTCAGAACACATCATGGCCATTTTGAATTCCTAGTTATGCCATTCGGCCTCAGCAACGCTCCTTCCACGTTCCAGTCCTTGATGAACGAGGTATTTCACTCCCACCTCCGCAGATTTGTCTTGGTATTCTTTGGCGACATCCTAGTCTATAGCAAGTCGTGGGTAGAACACGTGCAGCATCTTCGGATCGTTTTTGAACTCCTGCGACAACACCGACTCTTAAGCGATCCAAATGCTCCTTTGGGGAATGCCGGGTCCTTTACTTAGGACATGTGATCAGCGGGCAAGGGGTCACTGTGGATGACTCCAAGATTCAGGCGATCAAGGAATGGCTCAGACCGCAATCCGCCAAGGCTCTCCGCGGGTTCCTAGGGTTGACGGGTTACTACCGCAAGTTTGTACAAAATTACGGACTTTTGGCAGCCCCGCTAACCAATCTGCTCAAGAAAAATGCCTTCCACTGGGATAATACAACCGATGCAACCTTTGCGAGTTTAAGAGAAGCCCTCTCTCCTCCACGCTGGTTCTATAGTTGCCAAACTTTGAGCTCGAGTTCACAGTCGAATACGATGCATCCGGCACCGGCATCGACGCCATACTACAGCAGCAAGGACATCCAGTCGCCTTCTTCAGCCGCAAACTGGCTGACTGCCACCTTAAATTACCCGCCTACGAACGTGAACTGATTGGGCTAGCTAAGGCAGTGCAGCACTGGAGGCCATACTTATGGGGAAGGTCCTTCGTCGTCAAGATGGACCACTACAACCTCAAATATTTGTTGGAACAACGGCTTACCACTTCGCCGCAACAACATTGGGTTAGCAAATTACTTGGTTTCGATTTTCGGGTGGACTACAAGGCGGGAACCTTGAACCATGCAACAGATGCCTTGTCTCGCTGAGAAGAAGACAATATGCTCCTCCACGCGATCTCCCAACCCCGAGCCACCCTGTTGGAAGACATCCGGAACACATTGCCGCAATCACCGGAGTGGAACGATCTTGTCCAGAAAATACAGTTCGGAACGACCAACCCAAACTGGTCCATGCACGACGGGTTGGCACTATACAAGGGACGAATATATCTCCCAGCCGACTGTCCCTTAATTCCCTCTGTCATCTCCAGCATACACAACTCCACGCATGAAGGTGTCCAGAAAACATTGCACCGCATCCACACTGATTTCCACTGGCAGGGTATGAGGGCTTCAGTGCGGGACTTCATTCAGAATTGCTCTATGTGCCAACAACAAAAGTGGGAAAACTTGCACCCAACAGGCCTTCTCCAACCACTTTCACTCCCAACTCAGATCTGGGCCGATATTTCCATGGACTTCATTGAGGGCCTACCCAAGGTT